TCAAGGCAAGTGAGAAAATTACTCCTTTTTCAAAAAATCTGTAAGGCAGTATTTTGGAAAATAAAATCATCTAAATGATATTTCTCCCTTAAAAGTAAATAAATAAGCAATTCCTGATGTTCCTCTTCAGTTCTCTGTTGTCACAGAGTTATTTTTTCACTACCCTCCAAAAAATTAATAAGTAATAAAGGAGGATTAGGGGATGGAAGGTATGTGGGACAATAGGTCTTCTGCCTCTTATGGAAGAGGTCTTTGGCCAAAAATGTGAGAGCCAATGGGCTGGATTTAATGTTCAGGATTTTCAACAATAACAAAGTTTTTAATCAGAAAACCTGTAAAAGCTATCAGAAGAAGTGACAATGACCATGTGATAAATATCCAAAGCTGCAAAAATCATAACTGAGTGTGAAATGCAGACCTTCCCAGATGCCATAGTACTTCTGTTTCTTGAAACAAGATCATTAAATTGGTGTATATTTCAAATGCTTACATAACATGTTCAATGCATATTAATGTAATGCAACATAATACCATTCACATGACAATTACAGGATTTATTAAAAATATTCAGGGATTTGAACACTTAAATAGTATAGTCCAGTAATGGGATACATGTTTAAAGTTATTTGACATTTGTCTGGCTTAGGTCATGTTCCCAGAAGTGAACCCTGGGATAAAATTTGAGTACATAGGATTTCCTAAAGAAAGGCTTCCCAGGGAAAGCTGTTAGGGAGTGAGGAACCAGGACAGGAAACGGGAAAGGCCAAGCAGGTGTGTGGTTTCAGGAGATACACTGACCAGTTGACCCCACTGGGGATCTCTGGAGTTTAAACAGGATGGGATACACTCTTGCACCAGTGATGGTGGCAGGGAAGGGGAGAAGGAAACTCACAGGCACATCTGGCTCTTGGTGACTCAAAACAACTCCCCTTACCTGAGGCTGTCCTCAGAAAAAAGAGCCACTCTGCAGGCAGTTGGGGGCAAAACACTCAGAAGCCAGCAGAGGGACATGCCTAAATGAATCAAGGGATCGGAGAGAGTCTGGGCAAAGCTGGCAATGTCTCCGTACATCTGTGTTTGCCATCCTTTGATCTTGTCAGCATTATCTCTGGAGACAACATCAAACATTACATTTGAAGCCCTTCATGAAGGTGGCTTCATGCAGCTCATTTAGATGACCCCTTCTAGTCCTAGTAGACTTAGGGGACCTAAGGTGACCAAGATGATCCTACCAGTGAAAGTGTTATCTACCTTTTACCCCCAAACATTTGTTAAATTAAACTTTGTATTTTGGTAAAAATTGTAGGTTTCCATGTAGTTAGTTGTAAGAAATAATACAGGGAGATCTCCTGTAAACTTTACCCAATTGTCACCAATAATAACATCTTTTTCAAAACTATACTACAATATCACAACTATGATATCCACATTGATAGTCATAATTCAAAACAACTGCATCACACAAGGATTCCTCATGTTGCCTTTTTAAAAAATATTTTATTTATTTATTCATGAGAGACATAGAGAAAGGTAGAGACACAGGCAGAGGGAGAAGCAGGCTCCTTGCAGGGAACCTAATGTGGGACTCGATCCCAGGACCCCAGGATCATGACCTGAGTGGAAGACAGACGCTCAACCACTGAGAGCCACCCAGGTGCCCCAACTCATGTTGACCTTTTATATCTGTACCCACTTTCCTCCCTCCTGCTGGCTCCTTCCTTAACACCTATTCTCCATTTCTGTAATTTTATCATTTCACGAATGTTAGATAATGTAGTCCTATACTAAGTAACCTCTTGGGATCAGCTTTTTGCTCTGCATAATTATCTGCAGATTCAGCCACGTTGTATGTATCAGCCTGTTATTCCTTTTTATTGCTGAGTAGTGTTCCACAGACTGTACCACAGTCTGTTTAACCATTCACCCACTGAAGGAACATCTGGGATATTGCCAGCTTTCGGTCATTACAAACAGAGCTACTATAAACATTCCTATCCGAGTGTTTGTGTAAACATAAGTTTTCATTTCTCTGTGATCCAAGCCCAATGGTGTAATTACTGGATTGAATGTTAGCTGCATGCTTAGTTTCTTAGATAAGCTATCAAACTGCTTTCTAGAATGACTGCACTATTTCACATTCTCATCAGAGTGCATGTGTGATCCACTTTCTTCTCATCAAGTCAGCATTTAATATTGTCAATATTGTTCATTTTACCCATTCAGATATGTGTGTGGTAATACCTAATTGTGATTTTAATTTGCATTTCCTAACTGGTTAGTGATTTTGGACATATTTTCACGTGCTTGTTTGACATCTATATATCTTCAGTGAATTGTCTGTTCATGTTTTTTGCCCTCTTTCTACTTTCTTTTTACTGTTGAGTTTTGAGTCTTTTATATATTCTAGATATTAGCCCTCTGTCAGATAGGTGATTTCAAATTTTTCCCCAGTCTACAGCCTGCCCTTCATCCTTTTTAGAGTCTTTCACAGAGCAAAAATTTATTATTTTGATGAAATGCAATGTATTGGGGATCCCTGGGTGGCGCAGCGGTTTGGCGCCTGCCTTTGGCCCAGGGCGCGATCCTGGAGACCCGGGATCGAGTCCCACGTCGGGCTCCCGGTGCATGGGGCCTGCTTCTCCCTCTGCCTGTGTCTCTGCCTCTCTCTCTATGTGTGTGACTATCATGAATAAATAAAAAAATTAAAAAAAAAAAAAGAAATGCAATGTATTAGTTTTTCCTTTACCAGATCATATCAAGTCTAAAATCTCTGTTTTGCCCTATATCCTAAAAGTTTTCTCCTGTGTCTTTCTTTCCTAAAAGTTTCATAGTTTTATATTTTATGTTTAAATCCATAATCCATTTGAGTTAATGTTTACATAAAGTGTGAGGTTTGTTCTCTTGCCTACAGACGTCCAGTTGCTCCAATGCCATTTGTTGAAAAGGCTGTCCTTCTTCCATTGAGTATACTATCCCTAGCCTCCTCCTTGTGGAGTCACCAGAGCTGGTAGAGTCCCTCCACTGGTGTCCACAGGTGCTAGGAGGCAGTCCTCCCACAGAGTTCGCTCCAGAATATGTTACCACGCTCTTCCCTTGTCCATTCACTGGCCCCAGGGCACTGCACGCTCCCTTGTGGTTTCCCAATGTTCTGCCCACACCTTTGTAAAAAATCCCTTTATTAAACCCTCCTCGCATTACCCAATTTAAGTGAACCATCTGTTGTCTGTCAGGACCCTGATACATCCTGCAAATGATAAAGTTTCCAAATCCTAACCATCAGACATATACTCTCAATTGTCACAAAGCAATGATCATTTATTTTTTTTGAAAAGTTGTTTACAGATATTTATAGGTAAATGGATTTCCACTTTAAAACAGATGAAGGTAAGTGTGTGTGATTAAGATAGCATGCAATAAAATATTTCTTCTGTTGTTTCATTTTGTTTGAACTGTGTCTGCGGTACTTGTAAGTGCGGTATTTGCTTATCTAACTACTATAACATTACAGTCAAATACTGATTATCCATGTACTGGTGCATCAGGTACCAGTATCCATGTTCTGCTCATATTGTTTATACTCTCTGCACCTATTTCTACCAGAAACTTCTTCCTGCAACCCAGTTAACACTCTGCTCAACCAGACTGAGATCACAACCCTACTCTGACTCTGATAGGTGACTAGATCACCTACAAATTTCTATGATCTATACTCACGCTGACCCCCTTCACGAAGACAGATCATCAAAAACCAAGATATATGTAAAAGTGATGAAACAGCCATTATTTCCTAGTTGTATAAAAGGAAACAAACCTACCTAAGCAATCAGTGCCAGTAGAGTAGAATAAAATCATAAACCCTTGCAGAAAAATATTACAGTTCAGTGTGCTTGATTTCTGATGATTTCTACCCCAAAAAAGTTTCTTGTGTTTTATTTAAAACTTAGCAAATATATCATAATTACAAAGATTAAGTTGTATCTACATAGCCAAAATGAAGTGGGGTTAAGGCAACTGTCCAGATTACTCAGGATAAAAAAGCATCCTAAAGTAATGGCCAAACTACTATATGCAAAGGCAAGTAAAAGACTGAAGCAGTTTTCTGCTACTCCAAACAACCCAATCCACTTCTACCATCACTACTGAGAGTACTCCAAAGTTTCAATGTTTTTGACAGAAAGGCTCAGGGTCTCTGCTACCTGAATGTTGATTTCAGTTGTGCCTTTTATTCTGTGAGTAGAGATACAGACTAAAGGAATAAACTCAAGTTTTCATCTTAATTATACAAACTATCAGCGCTGACCCCTAATAAATGGAAAACGTGCTTTTTATAGACTCATGTTAGGGCAGAGATACATCTCTGAATTCACCTAATCCCACTCCCTTATTTCGTAGACAAGGAAACTGGAGTCCAGTCAGGTTCAGCAGCTAGCTCAAGGTCACTTCGAGAGACCTGGCCAGCACTCTTCTCTACACAACACTTATTTACACCATCAGTTGATCAGTGTACCTACATGTGGCAGATCTCTCCAAATGTTTCAATGTGTTTTCTCCCTTCTGCATTTTGTCTGATCATATCTAGAAAAGACGCTGAGGATACATGTAGGTGAGAGACTATGATTCAGTCACAGCCAATCAGGAGGATATTTCCTGATACTTTCAAATAAATTCGTTCTTTAAATAAGAATGAAACCAATTTGGATGCTGAATATGAACACTGGTCTGCCTTCCATGTTTTCAATCTATGCACTCAGGAGCTTTCTCATGAGTGGGGGTGGGGGAGGAAAGAGGGAGAAATATGATGAACTAGAAATGACTGATAGATTTGGCCGCTCTTCAGCTTGTTCTATGCTGCATATATGCAGTATTTGAATAGCAAAGATTGAGAAATATGAGGCCAAAGAATCTAGGCTCCAACCCTTTAACTAGTGAATGGGACAGGCCAATGAAACAGACCAATGCTTTCAGTGGCTTTTGATTTGATTCTACTGGCATAGAGAGAATCCAAATTCAACGTCAGATTTATTTTAACGTTGCAGTGAAAGTGCTACTAAACAGAAAACGTAGTAAAGTCAGTAACTATCAAGCAGATTGCTTCTTATTTTTGTAACAAGGAAAAACTCTTTTTGGCAAATAGTTCTATAGTTATAGAATATGAAGACAGTTAGAACTAATCTCCCCAATATGAAAATGTCCCCAAATTATCAAGTTGAAAGGCACATACCACTGCCCCAGCAGTTCATCCAAATAGTCTCTAGCATGGGAAATTTTAATTGTGCTTTTAGCTTGCTATCAATGCAATATGGCCTTAAAAAGTGACACCCGTGCATATGTATAATTTCTTTTCAAATGGACTAATCCTCTTCCCCTTTTCTAAGTTTCACTTTCTGAAGATCGATCTTTGTTATTTCTTTGTCTGATAAAGGACATAGTCCCATGACGGTCTTGGAAAAAATGTACTTCACAGTTTGTGCTCTATTTTGTCTATTAACCAAGTTTGGATTATCTTTGTGTCCTAACACAAAATGAATTTTTTTTGAAATATTAATGTGATGGCACTTCCATACTGTCATTTGTTAGAATGCAAAAGTCCTGGATTATTATCTTTTCTCACTGGTTGTTTAAGGCTTACTTCGCTTCCAGAAGAGATGATTGGCAAACTGTTATCCATGTGGTATCTGATAAGGTGGCCGACGTTATCGAATACGTGATCCTTGGTCCTTACCTTGAAAAGGATGTACAAAGTACTTAGGTTAAATGATAATAGTTCTCTCAAAAGATGTAAAAAATCAGGAAGAAAAACAGACACATCCTCAAAGGAGATATTTGGCTGAACAACAAAAAAAAAATGAACATACTTTTCAACTCTATATCCCTTAGTAGACAATTGTCTCATTCCCCATTACCTCTTTCTAAAACAAATAAAAATATATTTTATTTATTTATAAGAGACAAAGAGAGAGAAAGAGACATGGGCAGAAGGAGAGGGAGAGGCAGGCTCCCTGTGGGGAGCCCAATGCAGGACTCGATCCCAGGACCTTGGGATCATGACCTGAGCCAAAGGCAGACGCTCAACCACTGAGCCCCTCAAGTGCTCCCCCATTATGTTTTTAAAACAATTTTCCCTCTGAGTTAGAAAAATCCAAATTTGCAACCAACCTTTTGCCATGTTACTTTTTGATATATTCATGTCACCAGTCCTATAAATATTTAACTGTACATACAAGCATGAAGTCTATAATTGGTTATAATTATAACCCAGCAAGCAGACTGTTTCAAAATATCTTGTGTCTGTAGGAAGCAGGCCCTTCTGGAGAAGTCCTGCCTCTCCTTGAAGGCTTAACACAAATCCTGTCTCCTTTGAGAAGCCTCCTCAGACCTTCCTAATAGGCATTCACGTCTTCTTCCTGAAGACTTCATGGTAGCTGATTCCTAAATATTTGTTATATGGAACTTCTTGTGCCTGCCATAGAAACTTGGTTTCCCTTCGCCTGCTTTCTCCTGAGGACTTTCCTCCCTAATGTTACTGCATCCTTACTCTGCACTGGCAGAAGAAATTACTCCCCATCATGACTCCACTGGCCATAAATATTCCTGTTGGGAGGGTGGCTGAGAATTGTCCAGGAGTGGGAAGTCACAGCCAGAGAATACCTTGCTACATGATTCTGCTACCTCTCTCTACAAGGGATTTTTTAGTTCTGTTTAGATATTGGTTTTCAGCATATTAAAAAAACACACACTTATTGGAAGTGACCTAATCTGAATACAACTATGAATTAGATCATGGTAGTGTATCAACGTATAAATTTGATTTTGATCACTGTACTATGTCTGTGTAAGAGAATACCTCTATTCTTGGGAAATACACACTCAAGGAGTAAGAGGCAAAGAGCACAATGTTTCCAACTTAGCCTCAAATGGCTCCAAGCCTTGAAAACATTTTTATCTCCTTCATTTCAACACCAACCTATGTCAGATCAGCTGATCAGTCCTGCCAGTCTGTGTTTTTAATTCCAGCTCACTCTGCCCTCCTCTCTGTATTTCTCCTGCTTCCATTCTGGTTCAGGCTTTCACTAGTTTTTACCTGGAAGCCCCTCATTATTTTCTTCTCCAAGCAATCCTACATACAGATGTCCAGTGAATCTTCCAGTGCAGGGATTATAAACTATCCACTCTGTAGCCAAACATCCCAGGGATGTTTAAGTTTGCTGGGGTGTGTTAAGTGGGAGATGCCCAATAGAGATTTTTTTAGTATTTTGAATTAAAAATGGGGAGATTTCCTACAAAAATTTAGTTTTGTGGCTTCTTTGGTAAAATCGAATCTGGCTACTCTGGGCCCTTACTCCAAGTGGCAGCAATTGACTGAAGCTGCATGTGACTGTCCCTCTGACACAGGACACGTGCTTCCCAGGTCATCATAACCTACTGCACTCCATGCTCATTCACCTTAATTCACCATTTGCCCAGCTTTACACACTGCAACCATTTGCTGCTATGGCCCCAATCACAAGGTGCCTGGGTGCACATTTGTACACATGTGTGTGAGATAACAAACCCTTATTATGAGATCTACCTCCTGAACAAGTTTTTAAGCGTACGATAGTATAGTTAACTCTAAGAACAATGCTGTACACCAGATCACTAGAACTTTTTCATCTTACATGACTGAACTATACATTATACATTAAACAACAACCCATCTCCTCCTCCTCACCGGGCCCTGGCAACTACTATTCTTTCTGTTTCCATTAGTCTGACTACTTTTGATATCTCATATCATTGGAATCATGCAGTAGTTGTCATTCTGTGACTGGCTTATTTTAATTAGCAGGAGGTTCTCCAGGTTCATTCATGTTGTAGCATGTGACAGATTCTTGACTTTGGCTGAATAGTACTCCATTGTATATGTGTGTATGTATACATACACCACATTTTCTTAATCCATTAATCCATCAAGGGACATTTAGCATGTTCCTACCACTTGGCTATTGCGAATAATCCTGCAATGAAGATGGGAGTGCAAATGTCTCTTTAAGTTCCTGATTTCAACTCATTTGGGATAAAAACCCAACCAATAAATATGGACCATATGTGGGTACTATTTTGAATTTTTTGAGGAAAATCCATACTATTTTCCCCAGCAGCTACACCATTTTACATTCTCACTAACAAGACACAAAGTTTCCAATTTCTGCACACCCTCACCAAAACGTGTTCTTTTCTGTATGTTTGTTTTTGATCATGATCATCCTAACAGGTGTGAGGTGATATATTACCGTGAATTTTGTTGCATTTCCCTGAGGATTATAGCCGTTGAGCATCTTTTTAAGTAGCTGCTGGCCATATGTATATCTTTTTTAGAGACATGACTATTCAAGTCATCTGTCCATTTTAATTTTTATTTATTTATGATAGTCACAGAGAGAGAGAGAGAGGCAGAGACATAGGCAGAGGGAGAAGCAGGCTCCATGCACCGGGAGCCTGACGTGGGATTCGATCCCGGGTCTCCAGGATCGCGCCCTGGGCCAAAGGCAGGCGCTAAACTGCTGCGCCACCCAGGGATCCCCCATCTGTCCATTTTTTAATCAGATTGTCTTTTTGCTATTGAGTTGTAGAAATTTCTTATATACTTTGAAAATCAACCCCTTATCAGACATATGGTTTGCAAATATTATCTCCCATTCCTATTGCCTTTCACTCTGTTGATTGCTTTCTTTGCTGTGTAGAAATTTTTTAGTTTTATATAGTCTCATTTGTCTGTTTTTGCATTTGTTTGTATTCTTGGTGTTACATCCAAGAAATCATTGTCAAGAGCAATATTATGAAATTTCCCGCTTATGTTTTCTCCTAGGAGTTTTACAGTGCCAGATTTTACATATAAGTCTTTAATCTATTTTGAGTTAATTTTTGTGTGTAGTGTAAGATAAGGGTCCAATTTATTCTTTTATATATGGATATCATTTTCCCAAAACCATTTGTTGATAAGAGTATTCTTTCCCCATTGTGTATTCTTGGCAACCTTTGCAAAGATCATTTGACCATTTATGCAGAGGTTTCTCTCTGGGTCTCTATTCCATTCCATTGGTCTATATGTCTGTCTTTATGCCAGTACCATACTGGTTTGATTACTCTAGCTTTGAATCAGTAAGTGTGATGTCTCCAGCTTTGTTTATCTTTCTCAAGATTGTTTTGGCTATTCAGGGTTCTCTGTAGTTCCAAATGAATACTAAGATTGTACTTCTATTTTTATAAAAAATGCTCTGAGAATTTTTATGGAGATTGCATTGAATTTGTAGATTACTTTGGGTAATATGGAGATTTTAACAATATTAAATTTTCTAATCAATGAACATGGGATGTCTTTCCATTTGTGTCTTCTTTAATTGCTCTCAGCAGTGTTTTACAGTTTTAGTGTATAAGTCTTTTGCCTTCTTGGTTACATTTATTCTTAAGTATTTTATTCTTTTTGATGGTATTGTAAATGAGATTGTTTTCCTTACTTCATTTTCAGATTGTTCATTATTATTATTATATACAAATGCAACTGATCTTTATATATTCACTTTCTGAATTGTTCATTGTCATAACAAGTTTTTTTGTGGAATCTTTAGGATTTTCTAACATATAAGATTATATCATCTGAGGACATTATTTTACTTCTTCCTTTCCAATTTGGATGCCTTTTATTGCTTTATCTTGCCTAATTTCCCTGGCTACTACTTCCAGTACTACATTGAACAAAAGTGGTGAGGGGAAAAACTTTGTTTTTCACTGTGGGTATGGTATTAGCTCTAGGTGTTATACATATGCTAAGGTAATTTCCTTCTACTCCTAGCTTGTTGATTGGGGTTTTTTTTTTATCATGAAGGTGTGTTGAGTTTTGCCAAATGCTTTTTGTTCATCTATTGAGATGACCATATGATTTTTATCAATCATTTTGTTCATGTAGCGTGCCACATAGATTGATTTTCTTTGTTGAACCTTCCTGGCAATCCAGGGATAAATTCTACTTGGTCACAGTGTATGATCCTTTAATGAACTGTTGAATGCGGTTTGCTAATTTTTTGTTAAGGATTTTTGTAATATATGTCCATCAGACATACTGCCCTCTTTTTTTTTTTTCTTATAGTGTCTTTTTCTAGTTTTGTTATATGGGTAATGCAGGCCTCATAAAGTGAGTTTGTAAGTATTTTTCCCTCTTCATTTTTTTAATAAAGATTTTATCTATTTATTTGAGAGCGAGAGAGAATGCACAAGAGCACAGGTGGGTGGAGGAGCAGAGGAAGAGGGAGAAGCAGACTCCTCTCTGAGCAAGGTACCCGACTCTGGCCACTGGATCCCAGGTCCTAGAGATCATGACCTGAGTAGAAGGCAGATGCTTAACCAACTGAGCCACTCAGCACCCCTCCTCTTCATTTTTTTTTTAATATTTAAGAAGTATTGACATTAATTCTTTAAATGTTTGAAAGAATTTACCAGTGAAACCATCTGGTCATGGACTTTTTTATTGGACAGTTTTTGATTAGTGATCCAATCTCCTTATTAGTAATTTGTTCAGATTTTCTATTTCTTCATGATTCAGTCTTGGTAGGTTGTAAATTTTTAGGAATTTATCCATTTCTTCTGGGTTATCCAACTTGTTGGCATACAATTGTTCTTAATAATCTCTGATAATCATTTAATTTAATATAATCATTTATTTGGCATCAGTTGTAATGTCTCTTATTTCCTTTTTGATTTTATTTGAGTCTTCCCTCTTGCTTTCTTAGCAAACTAGCTAAGGTTTGTCAGTTTTGTGTATCTTTTCAAAATATCAATTTGTAGTTTGTGGATTTTTCCTATAATATTTCTACTCTTTCATTTATTTCTGCTGTCATATGAAATATTTCCTTCCTTTTGCTAACTTTGGATTTAGTTTGTTCTTTTTATAGTTCCTTGAGGTGTAAAGTTAGATTGTTTATTTGAGATCTTTATTTTTTTTTTCAGAGTAGGTATTTATCACCATCAACTTCCTTCATATTGCTTCTGCTGCATCCCATAGTTTTGGTATGTTGTGTTGTTTTCATTTCCATTTTATTTCAGATTTTTTCTAATTTCCCTTTGATTTCTTCTTTGAAACTGGTTGTTCAAGAGTGTGTTGTTTTATTCCACCTATTTATGAATTTTCTTTCTGCTATTAATTTCTAGTTTCATTCCATTGTGATAAGAAAAGATATTTGGTATGATTTCACTCTTCTCAAATCTCCTAAGACTTGTTTTGTGACCTAACATGTGATCCATCCAAGTATTTGTGATCTAACATGTGAATGCTCTGAGTATGCTTGAGAGGAATGTGTATTCTGCTGCAGTTGGGTGGAATGTTCTGTATATGTTTGTTAGGTCCATTTGGTCTACACTGTTGTTCAAATCCTTCTGACTGGACATTCATTCAATCCATTATTGAAAGTGGGGCATTGAGATCTCCCACTATTATGGGGTTATTATTTCTTCCTTCAGTTCTGTCAATGTTTGTCATATATTTGGGTACTCTGATGTTGGGTGCATATACATTAATAATTATTATATCTCCCTGGTAAATTGATCCTTTTATCATTATATAATGTCCTTCTATGTCTCTTTTGACAGTTTTTGACTTGAAGTCTATTTTGTCTGATACAAGTATGGCCATCTCTGCTCTCTTTTGGTTACCATTTGAATGGAATATCTTTATCCATCCTTTTACTTTCAGCCTATATGTGTCCTTCAATCTAAAGTGAGTCTCTTCTAGACAGCATATAGTCAGATCTTGCTTTTTGTTTATTCAGTTGTTCTATATTCTTTGGCTGGGGAGCCTAATCCATTTACATTTAAACTAATTATTAATAGGGAAGAACTATTACCATTTTGTTAACTGGTTTTTGTCCAGGGTCATCTCATCTATAGGCATTTTCTGCCTAGCCATACATTTTTTTTTATTGGCTTAATACTATTCTTCTGCTCTGTCTGTCCTTGTACTTCCTTCCCTATGCTCTAAATGTACCCCTTTTAAAATGTTGCTGTCTCTCAAGGTTCATCTTACATGTCAGACCCTGCAAGAAGCCTTTAGTTTGCCTCAACCAGAGCACTCCTTTATCCTGAGAAACACCATAATACTTTGGTTGAACCATTCCCATGTCATTCTTGGATTTTTCTTAATTATTCTTAATTATTCAAGTTTCTGTTTTATGAAATTATAAGCTATAAGCACTCTGATAGCAATGAAAATGTATGTAATATTGGACAACGGTCAACTGTGAATCCTTGTACTTCCGTGTAGTAGGTATTCATTTAGTTCACTGAATTGAATTGAGAAGGGGCAGAAAGTGCTGTCCTCTACTTAATACTCCAGGGTGACTCCCTCCCAAATGCCTCCACTAGCAATTAGTGAGCACTTCTTAATCTAGGTGGAGGGTTCAAGAGAAAGGAAACCCTTAGCTTTATCGTGCTTCAATATCAGGGTTTGGACCAATCATTCAGAATAATCTTAATTAGAACATTCTTTGAAAAACATAGTAAGAGGTCATTGATACCTTCCCTTCAGGATCCACCAGAAGAAGATGCTTTGCCTGGCCTCCCTGTAGTCCACTTAGCACATACTGGCCAGGAGATGTTGCACTCTCTCGAACCAGAAAGTCCCCATCTTTCACCAAGAGGCTCTCTGCTGCCTTTCGGCTCAGCTTGCCATGGTAGCAGTCTTCACTCCGCAGCTGCTGCTTAACATGTGGCAAAGAATGTGAGCTGGCAGGCTGGGCCGTGGCACCAGGCTGAACAGTTTCTGGTGCTTCTAGAATCCAAACATAAATAGAGACATCACCAAGTTACCTCCTCATTCATTCATTCATTCATTCATTCATTCAGCACATACAATTTGAGGCCCTACTGTGTGCCGTGCACTGTTTAAATGATGCTGCTTCTGGAACAAATGGGGTTTTTGTTTCTAGAACTTCCAACAGGCTTTAATTTTAATGGTCCAAACATTGCCTTTGGCTTCTGTTACCAGGAAAGGCTTCCCCAGGTGCAGTTTTCTTTTCAGATGAGAAATGGAACTGACCCATGAAAACTGCTTTCATAACTGCAGAAAGAAGCACTTTATGTCCTAGGGGCTGTATGTTAAAGAGAAAGAGGCTTATGCAGTACCTGGATCGCAGATAACTTCTAAAAACATTCCCAAACTCTTTGAAAAATGCCTTCAGTAACTTTACACTATGCCTGTTTTTAGTAATTAGCTTTTTTCTTTCGAACCAAATTACTAATGTGCTTCAGAGGTGCTTCTTACCAAAAACTCCAAAGCTATGCTGAACCTCACAGCATAGCTATTAAATGGCCTCCTATTTAAATGGCCAATCTGGTGTTTGTGTCATTCACCTGCATGGACAAAGCAGAGTTCATCTGGTAAAAGAAGGCAAAACATCAGGGAGGCCCTGGTCTGAGGCAGCTCCCCACAGTTCTGCAAAATAAATATCATCTAGAGTCAAGTGGGGATGAAGAGGTATATCCAGGTGGCACTTAATTATATTATTGATATTCAGAGTGATAATAATTATTCTATAGTTCCCACTTATTAAGTATGATAGGCACTGCTCAATGCTCTCTATATATTATCTTGTTTGGTTCTCAAAACAGGGCAGGCAAGGAAATGGATTTTAAAAAGACTAAATGACTTACCCAAAGTCACACTGCTAATATGTTGTAAATCTAGGATATGAAATAAGATCTATTTGACTCCAAAGCCCAAGTTCTTAATCACCATGCTCAAAGACCATTGCCTTGAATGTGAAAATCTTTCAGTTTTCAAAATTGGCCTAGCCATTCTACTTCCATAGTACCTACAACGGTCCCTACTAGAGAGCAAGGTTATCTGGATCATATACAGCAGAAGTAATAACATAAAATTCTTAGGTCTGAAGATATGTTCTTTTTTTTTAATTTATTTATGACAGTCACACACACACACAGAGAGAGAGAGAGAGAGAGGCAGAGAGAGAAGCAGGCTCCAGGCACCGGGAGCCCGACGTGGGATTCGATCCCGGGTCTCCAGGATCACGCCCTGGGCCAAAGGCAGGCGCCAAACCGCTGCGCCACCCAGGGATCCCTGAAGATATGTTCTATATGGCAAATTTACTAGGAAAATCACCACAGAAATCAGGCTTTGTCTTTTTAAATGCAAAGGATCTTTTACATAGAAACTAGCTTTCATCTTTATAAATGCAAAGGTGTGTTTCCATGTCCTTATGCAAGGGCATAAGAAATCCTCTTAACTCTAAGTTTTATGACTTATATGTGATAATCTCATGAAGTCATGTATATCATATATATTATACATAAAATAGGCAACCAGGGCATTGTAGACATAGCCCAATTCCCCTGTTAATATGTAATAGTTTTGTCTCTACTTAGGCACTTCCCTCTGCATGACACAATTATGATGCAGCACTCACAAATATATATTTTTGAAAATATCTTTAGTCTATATTTAATGGCTGAAAATATTCTCTCCACAAACAACCAGATCTATCTACTGTTGCCAGAAAAAGGCTGAAGAAACGTGTCCAGATTTGATGAATAATAAATGAAGTTGGCCTTAGTGCTGCTTGCTTGCAGGCATGAAAAAAGAACTCAGAGAAGCAGCCATGTACATGTTTGTGTAAGTAAAAGGGAAAGTGAGTGGAAGAGAGATGCATGCATGCGTGTATGCACACACATCATAATGCATGATGGCTTCCAGTTTATTCTGAGATAAGGGTGGAGAGCTTTTGGACAAGGACAAAACAAAAGAAAAACAGACATTATATCATCTTGAAAAGAGGCAACAGATCACAGGCCAGCCTGAGGTTATGGACAATATTTTCCTAACACAGTTTCCCAAATTAGCACAAGAACAATATACACTGTACTGGGACATTTTAATCATCTAAATATTTGCCGAAAATCTAATTTTCCTAAAAGCAGAATATCTGACAGATTTTTTAAAAATTTTGTTTTAATTTTTAAAGTTATGCATGCTGCTTTTTAATATCTGGGAAACACAGAAAAACAAAGAAAATGAACCACCAGTGGTCCCATCACCAAATACAACTACTCTTTAACATTGTGGTGCATTACCTATTATCGACTGCTTCCTTACATAATGTTAACTTTGAGAAAGATAATCATAATTTAAATCTAGTTATTTACATAAAATTGCCCTACAAAATTTAATAAGCTATTGATGTTATAAAATTAATAACATATTTTTTCAGAAGTAGCAAAGGTTAAGGAATCAACAAGAAAGGCCACTTTATATTTAATTGAGACTTAAAAAGAAAGTGATAGGAATCATGGAAGAAAGTAATTATGTTATCTTGGAGTTCCCGTAGCAACTGAAGACATTGCTCATGATCAGAAATTCAGGTAAGCACAATATAGATATGAATATCCACACCCAAAAACATCTGATCAAATAAAGAGGGCATATGGCTTAAGGGAGAAAAAAAATCTAACATGCAAAATTAAACAATTGTAAGTAACCCCAATGACAAAGAATGAGACACTTAAAGAAACCAATGTGAACTGGGAAGACAGCATAATAATGCATTCAATTTTTTTTAAGGATTTCATTTATTTATTTATGAGAGACACACACAGAGAGAGAGAGAGTCAGAGACATAGGCTGAGGGAGAAGCAGACTCCCTGCAGGGAGCCCGATGCAGGACTCGTTTTGGGACCCCAGGATCAGGCCCGGAGCCGAAGGCAGACACTCAACCGCTGAGCCACCCAGGCATCCCGATGCATTCGATTTTTAAAAAGCACATGCAATTGGGTATTTTGGAGTAGTAATGACTATTATATTAGCAAAGATTGAAAAAAATTAGATGTTCATCAATAAGGGAATGGATATATAAACTATGATGTACTTATACAATATAATACTATAAAACAATAGAAAATAACAAAGGTTTGTTCATCCAACATAGGAGGACCTAAATATGTAAAGCAAATATTAAGAGATTTGAAGGGAGAAACAGCAGCACAGTAGTAGTAAGGAACTTCAATATCCCATTTTCAATAGATAGATCATCCAGACAGAAAATCAGTAAGGAAACATTGGATGTAAACTATACATTAGACTAGATTGACTCAACAGACATCCACAAAACATTTTACCCAAAAGCAATAGACGCACATTCTTCTCAAGTGCACATGGGACATTTTCCAGGATAGATCATATGTTAGGCCAAAACAAGTCAATAAATTTTAAAAGAATGAAATCATATCAAGCATCTTTTCTGACAACAAGGATATGAAACTAGAAATGAATTACAAGAAGAAAACTAAGAAATTCACAAATATGTGAAAATTAAACAGCATGATACAGAACAACAAATGGGTCCAAGAATAAATCAAAAGATAAGTCAGAAAATATCTTGAACAACAAATGGGTCCAAGAATAAATCAAAAGATAAGTCAGAAAATATCTTGAATACCACAAATACTACATATCAAAACTTGTGGGATGCTATCAAAGGCAGTTCTAAGAGGGAAGCTCAAAGCAACTAACACCTATAAGAAAAAAGAGACATCTCAAATAAACAACCTAACTTTACACCTCAAGGCTACCCTGAAATAAATAAACTAAGCCCAAACATAATAGAAGAAAAAAATATCAAAGATCAGAGCAGGGATAAATGAAATAGAGAGTAAAAAGACAACACAAAATAGTCGATAAAACTAAATAAACAGAATAAGCAAACTTTTAGCTAGACTTACCAAGAAAGGAGCGACTCAAATAACATTATAAATGAAAGGGGAGACATTACAAGTGACACCGCACAAAGGATCATAAGAGACTACTCTGAACAATTACATGCCAATAAATTGGATAACCTAGAAAAATGGATAAATTCCTAAAAACATAAAAACTATCAACACTGAATAATGAAGAAATAGAAAATCTGAACAAGTGAATTAGTAGTAAGGAGACTGAATCACCAATCAAAAACCTCGCAGCAAAGAAAAGTCCAGAACCTGATGGCTTCACAGGTGAATTCTACCAAACAGTTAAAGAGAAAGTAATTCCAATCTTTCTAACAGTCTTCATAAAAAAAAAAAAAAAAAGGAGGTAACACTTCCAAACTCAATTTACAAGGCCAGCATTACCCTGATACCAACACCAGACAAGGATACCACACAAAAAAAATAATAATAAAAGAAATTTACCAGGACAATATTCCTGATGAATGTAGATGCAAAGTCCTCAACAAAATAGTGGCAAACGAAGTTCAACAATACATCAAAAGAAAAGGATCCTATACCATGATGAAGTGAGATTTATTAGGGATATAGGACAGTCCAACATCCATATGTCAATTGATGTGACACACCACATTAATGAAAGATAAAAATAGATGATCATCTCAAAAGATGCAGAAAAGCCATTTGACAAAATTCAACATCCCCTCATAATAAAAGCTCGCAACAAAGCCAGTATGTTGGAAACGTACCTTGATATAATAGAGACCATATGTAATAAGCCCACAGTTAATATCATGCTCATCAGTGAAAAGTTGAAAGCTTTTCTTCTAAGATCAGAAACAAAAGGATGCACACTCTCCCCACTTTAATTCAACATAGTGATGGAAGTCCTTGCCAAAGCAATTAGGCAAAAAAAAAAAAAAAAAAAAAAAAGAGAGAGAGAGAGAGAGAGAGTGAGAGATAGATGAAAAAGAAATAAAAGGCTTCCAAATTGGATGGGAAGAAGTAAATCTGTTTCTCTTTATAGGGAATATAATATTATATATAGAAAAC